GATACAGAAAAGGCCTTCAATAAACTTCAACAGCCCTTCATGCTAAAAAAACTCTCAATAAACTAGGTATTGATGGAATGTATCTCAAAATAATAAGAGCTATTTATGACAGACCCACAGACAATATAATACTAAATGGGCAAAAGCTGGAGACATTCCCTTTGAAAACCGGCACAAGACAGGGATGCCCTCTCTCACCACTCCTATTCAACATAGTATTGGAAGTTCTGGCCAGGGTAATCAGGCAAGAGAAAGAAATAAAGTGTATTCAGATAGGAAGAGAGGAAGTCAAATTGTCTTTGTTTGCAGATGACATGATTCTATATTTAGAAAACCCCATCGTCTCAGCCTAAAAACTCCCTAAGCTGATAAGCAACTTCAGCAAAGTCTCAGGATACACAATCAATGTGCAAAAACCACAAACATTCCTATACACCAATAACAGACAAGCAGAGAGTCAAATCATAAGTGAACTCCCATTCACAATTGCTGCAAAGAGAATGAAATGCTTAGGAATACAACTTACAAGGGATATGAAGGACCTCTTCAAGGAGAACTACAAACCACTGCTCAAGGAAATAAAAGAGGACACAAACAAATGGAAAAACATTCCATACTCATGGATAGGAAGAATCAGTATCATGAAAATGACCATACTGCCCAAAGTAATTTCTACATTCAATGCTATCCCCATCAAGCTACCATTGACTTTACTCACAGAATTAGAAAAAAAAACTACTTTAAAGTTCATATGGAACCAAAAAAGAGCCCGTATAGCCAAGACAATCCTCAGCAAAAAGAACAAAGCTGGAGGCATCATGCTACCTGTCTTCAAACTATACTACAAGGCTACAGTAGCCAAAACGCATGGTACTGGTACCAAAACAGATATATAGACCAATGGAACAGAATAGAAACCTCAGAAATAACACCACACATCTACAACCATCTGATCTTTGACAAACCTCACAAAAACAAGCAATGGGGAAAGGCTTCCCTATTTAATAAATGATGTTGGGGAAACTGGCTAGCCATATGCAGAAAACTGAAAGTGGACCCCTTCCTTACACTTTATACAAAAATTAACTCAAGATGGATTAAAGACTTAAACATAAGACCTAAAACCATAAAAACCGTAGAAGAAAACCTAGGCAATACCATTCAGGACATAGGCATGGGCAAAATCCCTATCAAAAAGTGGGTGAAGGACGTGAAGAGACACTTCTCAAAAGAAGACATTTAGCTAACAAATATATGAAAGAAAGCTCATCATCACTAGTCATTAGAGAAATGTAAATCAAAACCACAATGAGATACCATCTCACGCCAGTTAGAATGGCAATCATTAAAAAGTCAAGAAACAACAGATGCTGGAGAGGATGTGGAGAAATAGGAACACTTTTATACTGTTGGTGGGAGTGTAAATTAGTTCAACCATTGTGGAAGATAGTGTGGCAATTCCTGAAAGATCTAGAACCAGAAATACCATTTGCCCCAGCAATCCTATTACTGAGCGTATACCCAAACGATTATAAATCATTCTACTATAAAGGCACATGCACACATATGTTTATTGCAGCAGTGTTCACAATAGTAAAGACTTGGAACCAACACAAATACCCATCAATGATAGACTGGATAAAGAAAATGTGGCACATACACACCATGGAATACTACATAGCCATAAAAAGGATGAGTTCATGTCCTTTGCGGGGACATGGATGATGCTGGAAATCATCATTCTCAGCAAACTCACACAGGAACAGAAAACCAAACACCACATATTCTCACTCATAAGTGGGAGATGAACAATGAGAACACATGGACACCGGGAGGGGAACATCACACACCGGGGCCTGTGAGAGGGTGAGGGGCTAGGGGAGGGATAGTATTAGGAGAAATACCTAATGTAGATGACAGGTTGATGGGTGCAGCAAACCACCATGGCACATGTATACCTATGTAACAAATTTGCACGTTCTGCGCATGTACCCAGAACTTAAAGTATAATTTTTAAACAATAGGCCATATCAAATAGCCTAGATGTGTAGTAAGCTATATGATCTAGGTTTAAGTACATGCTACAATGTTCGCACAATGACAAAATTACCTAATGGTTCATTTCTCAGAACATATCCCCATTGTTAAATGACATAACAGGATTCATGTTTTGGTAAAAATTAAAAACAAAATTTAACAAAAAAAAGAGAGCAAAAAGGAAAGATACAACACAGCATGTGATAAAAATTTATAACATATCCATTCAATAAATGATAAACTCCTGATACATATATATCTTATATGTTTATAGACAATGATCTCCATTTTATCTATCTATCTATCTATCTATCTATCTATCTATCTATCTATCTATCTATACACTAGTCAAGACATATATCCGAAATCTGCAAAACACTAAGAAACTGACAACCATGAAGAAGTATGGGTAGAAGACTTGAACAGGCATCTTATGAAAAAAGAAAGAGCAACAACCAATGCCTAATAGACATTAGTCATCAAATAAATGCAAATCTAAAACACAAATACATACCAGTACAATTCAGAAGGTTCACAATATTAGGGTCAAGCAGGAGTCACTACCGGTTGTAAAATGTTGAAACACTGCTTTTTTCTTTCTACTAATGCTGATTATACGTGTTTCCTATGACATGGCAATTTCACTCCTACATATATACCCAGAGAGAAGAATTTGAATACCCCATTCCCATTTAAGAAATATTCATTTTTCAAATCCTTATCAGACTAGTATAAATTTGGCTAGCCTCAAAGCCATTCATTCTTTTTAAGATGGCTTTGCATAACTTTGCTCTTTTTCTTTTTGTGTAACTTTGAAGATCCAAGGGCAATCTAATTTCTCTTATTTTTCTGTCCAAAGCCATCTCTCTGTAGGGCCTAAATAGTGATACTTCTTACATGTTAGTGTAAACTTTCACTTCATTCATTTCTGCCATAATATTTAAGAACCGATTATGATATTCTATCATACACGTCTCCTTATATTCTCAGGAAACTCAGTGTTTCCTTTCCACTGTCTTCAAAACTCCACATGTAAAACTCAGTGCAATAGCCCTGTTGTTAGAGAGCTGCATGGGCTCTCATGTTTTGTATGTTTATAGATTTTGGATATATGTTCACAGTGTTACATAGTGTTTTATAGATTTTGGATATATGTTCTGACTAGTGTAGAGATAGATAGATAGATCCACCAATCACATTTTCCCCCAGGTTCTCCTCAATGAATTTAACTGATACCTACATATCCTGATGTAATTTCCTCCTCCTATAATTTGAGTTGCAGATAAAAGACAACTCCTTACTCACGTTCTCTAGATTAATACAGTATTGTTGTAGAAATGACTAAGCATAGATTTCAGATAATTGGGCTAGACTTCATTGTTTCTGTCAAAGGAGATAAGAAAGACAACAATTGGGCTACAAGTATCTCCTGGGAGTTCCCCCCATGGGATGTGTGTGTCAGAAAGGGACCCATGGGATAGTCTAGTCCCCCTGCTGAAGAGAACTGTTGACCCCCAGCCCACACTCTGCAACAGAACTGCTAGAGTATCTCATGGGACATGAAATTGCCTTCAGAAAAACCAATACAGGGGGTCACATCGAGGTCAAATTTGGCACAGAAGGGTAGGAATTTGTTGTATTCAGAATTTCTTTAGAGAAGGTAGAGGAAATAGAGTAAGAATGGGAGAATATATTTTTGGAATGCAATGATTGTAAGTATCCCAAACAAAATATAAATAAGCAAAATCCAGTAGCATATGCATATGATCATAACCACATGAATTGTTTTCAAAAATACAAGACTGGGCTAACATTTGGACATTAATCAACTTTTTAAATAACACACTTTGGGAGGCCGAGGCAGGTGGATCACTTGAGATCAGGAGTTGGCAATCAGCTGGCCAACGTGGTGAAATCCTGTCTCTATTAAAAATACAAAAATTAACCAGGCATGGTGGTGTGCACCCATAGTCTCAGCTACTTGGGAGGCTGACGCAAGAGAATCTCTTGAACCCAGCAGGTGGAGATTGCAGTGAGCAGAGATTGCACCACTGCACTCCAGCCTGGGTGACAAAACAAGACTCTGTCTCAAAAAACATAAAATAAAATAACATTTACTGGAAAAGGTAGAATAATCATTACATTATTTCAGCGTATAAAGAAAAAGGATTTTGTAAATTTCAATACATTTTCAGTTTTCTATCTCTCAGAAAATAAGGAATAGAACAAGCCCTGCTGCTATGATGAAATGAATCTACAAAAAAGACAGAAAGCATCGTAATTAATTGTGAAATCCTGAGAGTTCTCCTTTCTATCCGAAGAATATAAAAAGACACACACTACACCATTCTATTAGACATTGTCCTGGAGGGTCTACGCCTGGACAAGGGCAAAAAAAAAAAAAAAAAAAAAAGCAAGATTGAAAATACTCTTATAAAGTGGAGAAAACTATTACTATTTTTTATGAGTCATGACTGCACATGTACAATTTTCTGTCACACCAAAAAAAAAAAAAAAACACAAAATACAAAAAGTATTAGAATCAAAAAGCTAGGACCAGAACTCAGCTTGATTTGCCCGAATCTACAGCACTTATGTCGCACAGAGTCCCACATTCTCATGCTGGTAAACCTCTCAGTCACAGGCAAATCGGGATAAATGGCCACACCATCACAGAAACCATTTGGTGCTTTCTGAATCCCAGTGGACTCCTTTTTCTACCCACCTGCTTCGGTGTAGCTCTGCATTTTGCAACACATTGTGCCAAACACCCTTTCCCCAGTGAGTTTAAGAGAACTGGAAGACACAGGGGGAGTAGGTTGTAGCGAGAAAGATGCTTGTTACACTTGAATTAGACTTTTGTGGGTGAACAGGCTTGGGGCTGGGCATGGATTCAATGCATCACTGTGAATATATCAGCATCACGCGACTGCCCACAGACATTTCCCAGTCTACATACAGCCAACCATGAGGCAGGGCAGAGAGTATCTGCCTCCCGGATCACCAGGAACTATCACATGACCGGATGATGGTCAGAGCAGGAATGATGCTGATAATGAGACTGATTTCCTTTTATCTGAAACAAAGTTTTTATGAGTAATTCTCAATTAACAAACAGATTAAACATTTACTTTCAACAGATTCATAAGATTTCAGAAACAACTTCCCCTTTGACGATCGCAAAGGGAGTATGAAAAACAATGTAAACAGCAACAAGAAAAAGTCCTGATGATTGGTGGAAACTTTGGAGGCCAGGTGTATAAAAGGTCCAGATTGCAAGGGGTCATCACATCCTGGGAAACTCACCTCTGAATAGAAACCCACCCTCCACCCCTGACACCATGACCAACTGTTGCTCCCCTTGCTGCCAGCCTACGTGCTGCAGGACCACCTGCTGCAGGACCACCTGCTGGAAGCCCACCTGTGTGACCACCTGCAGCAGCACACCCTGCTGCCAGCCCTCCTGCTGTGTGTCTAGCTGTTGCCAGCCTTGCTGCCGCCCAACTTGCTGTCAAAACACCTGCTGTAGGACCACCTGCTGCCAGCCCACCTGTGTGACCAGCTGCTGCCAGCCTTCTTGCTGCTGATCAAGTCCCAAGAGAACCACCGTCCTCACACAACAACTTTCTGCTCCACTGACTGATCTTTTGGGGGACTAATTTACTTTGCTGCTGACAGCCACTGTGCTCTCACCCAAATTTTTATGAATTATCTGCATGTTTAAAATCTTGGGAATCTGCTAGATAGATGTCAGAATACTTCATCCTGTTTCTCTTTTTTCTTACCCCTTGTGGATCATGTGCCAGCTTCGTGTGCTCTCAATCTGGAGTCATGGTCTCAGCTGTGACTCTAAAGTCATGAGCTTCATTCTCTGCTTCTAAGGAATTTAGGCTTCTGCAACTGAGCAATAATCTTTGCAATCATATATTTGTTTTCAATATCCTCTTCTATCCTTCTTTGGTTCTTCTATCCTTCTTTCTTCTTTTCATGATAACTTTGGGTTGTGTTCCTGGTAGCAGAGATTCTTAACTATATGTTTCTGAATAAACGCTGAACCATCTTCATCTCATATGGTGTTTTGTTTTATTTGAAAGCATTTCTGATATGGGATTTACATATGTATCACATACCATAATTATTATCCAATTTGATTCTCAAAACAGATGGTCATCTATTATTACCTTCATTTTTCACCTGATAAAAATTTAATATGTGATGTTATGTAGCTAATAAAGGACAGATTCTGATCCAAGCTGAGTTCCTCTCTTTCTGGCCAAGGACACTTACATTTAATTCTCAATATAGTGGAATGACATTGGAAGTCAGCACTAGCAAGACATGCACTTGAGTTTGTTTAACAATGAGAGGATTAATCACTTATATTTGCAGATAACATTTTTGTTCACACAAACTTAATTTCCAACTTAGTTTCCCGCACCTCAGTGAGCAACAGTTGCATGATATGGCAGCAGGGACTGCATTTAATGGCTGGCCTGAATGCAGGGATCTTTTTATCTCAGCCTCTGACCAGCCAATCATTCAATTCATCTGCATTGAAAGGATGCTTGAGAATTCTTTATATCATCATGAGAGAAAGTCTCATCTGAAGTGACTCATTCTCAGTATCATGTAAATAAAATTCTTATATGGCCTCCATCTCCTGACTACCTAATGACAAAGTAAATGAAACTAAGTTATTCCTTGTAAAATACAGACCATACCTTATGCCACATTAAGACAATTTGTCCCCTAATCGAAATGTTATGAGGAAAATTAAGTAAGGAATTAAGCTGGGAATTGAGAAAGTATGCAATGGGTATGTAAGACTTGACACAATCCGTAATCTCTGAACCAAGGAAGGGAACGAAATAACCTTCTGCATTTTGTAAGACCAATATGAGGCATCTAAAGAAACTGAAAACTCCCAGCACTTTGGGATGCCAAGGCAGGCAGATCACGAGGTCAGGAGATCAAGATCATCCTGGCTAACACGGTGAAACCTCGTCTCTACTAAAAAAAAACCAAAAAATTAGCGGGGTGTGGTGGCAGGACCCTGTAGTCCCAACTACTCGGGAGGCTGAGACAGGAGAATGGTGTGAACCTGGGAGGCGGAGCTTGCAGTGAGCCGAGATGGTGCCACTGTACTCCAGCCTGGTTGACAGAGCGAGATTCTGTCTCAAAAGAAAAAAAAAAGAAAAAAACAAGAAACTAAAAACTGTGTTTCCAGGGAAATCAGAAGAATGTAAGAAAGGAGCAAAGTAGAACTTGTGCATTCATAGAAGTCATGATAGACAGAGGTTGGTGCTTTTGGTCCTGAACTGATGCAAGTTAAGCATTCACTCATGGAAGGATTGATTGATATTGGCTCTGAGAGAAATATAAAGTTTGGGGACCTGGGTCACGTTCTTGGGACCTCCTACCACCATGGGAGTGGTGGAAATACCTCTGATAAGCTAGCAAAGTAGATTTCCATGACAGACGCCAACTTCTGAGACTGTGAATCTAGATGTTCTGAAGACTTGGCTAAGAGACAACGGCCGCTTACTGTGATCATTGTTCAGGGATGAAGTAAAGGAGATGAAAACTAGGACATTCTCTTTGACCAGCATCAGTTACGAAAGATGAATCAGTTCAGCACGTCTACTGTACAGTAATGTCACTATAGTTATAAACACTTTATCATATACCTGAAATTAGCCAAGAAGTTAGATCTTGAATGTTCACACCACAAAAATAAAAAGGAAATGGTAACTACGTGGGCTAATACATATGTTATTCCCAATGAATATATATATTAGAGCTTTGCCTTTCATACCTGAAATAGACACAATTTTTATTTGTTAATTACACCTCAATACAGCTAGAAAAAGTATTTAGTTGATTTAGTTAATTATTACAAAAATATTCTTCAACATTAAAATTAGAAATTTTCTGAACAAAAACACTAATTCTGGGCTGCCTACTATAGGATGGGTATTGGCTAAAGGCTTTGTGTACATTATTATTAATTCTTTTTTTTGGAGGGGGGAGCGGGATGTAGTCTTGCTCTGTTGCCCAGGCTGGAGTGCAGTGGTGCGATCTCGGCTCACTGCAAGCTCTGCCTCCAGGGTTCACGCCATTCTCCTGCCTCAGCCTCCTGAGTAGCTGGGACTACAGGCACCTGCCACCATGCCCAGCTAATTTTATGTATTTTTAGTAGAGACGGGGTTTCACCGTGTTAGCCAGGATGATCTCGATCTCCTGACCTTGTGATCTACCCACCTAGGCCTCCCAAAGTGCTTGGATTACAGGCGTGAGCCACAGCACCCGGCTATTACTAATTCTTTAACAAACTTTCAAAATAGGTATTAACGTTCCCTTTGTAGAGATGAGAAAATCGAGGCTGAGAGAGTTAGTGTATTGTCATAGATTAGTTTCTCCCAGAAGAGACTCTGAGGAAAATGTTCCAGTGAAACTAGTTTATTGGGAAGTACAGATCACACTGGTAGGGACTGGGAAAGTGATACAGAAAACGGTACACTATTAAGTCAGTATCACAATGACTAACTAAAGCTTAAGTTAAGGGAAAACTATCAGAAATGATGAAAAACACACAGCTAGAATTATCCTACTTCAGGAATGAGGAAGCTAGTCTTTATACATCAGCTCTCCAGAATCATTGGTTGAGTGTTTTTCTCTGTGTTGCCTTCACAGGTGACATGACTTCTTACAGCTGCAATACAAGAGCCCTTAGGCACAGTGATGCAGAGTCTAACAGATGGAAATTAGTCCAAGCACACTACGATCTAATATATATGGATGCAGTCATGAAAACTTGTCTATGATCCACAATTAGTTCCACTCAGGTCAAATCTTTGCTACTTAAATGTGATGGACAGCCACAAGCTCTAGAAGAAGGAAGAAGAGGAGGTGAGAAAGAGGAGTAAGAGAAGGGACAGAAGATGAGTGGAGGAGAAAGAAAGAAAAGAAAAGAAA